TAGCTGAGATGTCCTTGAGTTCCTGATTCTCAAGTGCTGAGATTAGACCTATTAACACCTTCATCTTTCCTGATTACACTGGCTAGACAGTAGAGAGATCGGCCAGCCCTGTATTATCTGTGCTTTAGAATTATGAGCTCATCATTATGTGGAATGTTATCCACAAGGTTTCCACACTTCCTTTTTATTAGCTGAAGTTCCCAACTATTAATTTGTAGCTAGCTGAACTTCAAGAAAGGATATTGAATGCTAGTATGGTGGCACACACCTTTAATCTCAGTACTTGGGAGGCAGAGGCAGGTGGATCTCTGAGTTCAAGGCCAGCCTGATCTACACAATCCAAATTTCTAGGACAGCCAGGGCTACACAGAGAAACCCTGTCTTGAAAAACAAAGATGTATGTTGGATATTTCCATATGATGTTTCTTTAGTGGTTGATTTCTTTTCTTTTCTTTTCTAGACTATTAATGTGATGAATTGTACTAATTATCAAATTTTGAAGAGCTTGTCAAAACCCTTCACCCAAACTCTGTCATCAATACATATTTTTACATTCATTTCAGATTTCTGTTCATTTGGGATACTGATAAGTTTTCTCTTCTGATATATTATCTTCCTCTGGGCTTGAAATGCTAATTCTCACCTTACAAAACTGACCTGTGAATCAGTTCTGTCAAGAAGAGAGCTTTTATTGAAGTCTGTTGAACCTTTTAAAGTTTTCCATTAAAGTTTTTAAAAATTCAGTTTTTTAAAATAATTTTTTATATTTTGGTTTTTTGAGACAGGGTTTCTCTGTGGCTTTGGAGGTTGTCCTGGAACTAGCCCTTGTAGACAAGGCTGGCCTCAAACTCACAAAAATCCGCCTGCCTCTGCCTCCTGCGTGCTGGGATTAAAGGCGTGCCACCACTGCCAGGCCAGTTTTTTTTGTTTTGTTTTTGTTTTTTTAAGTGAGAGGTTTTATTAGAAAGGGGAGGAGGGAAGAGAAGAGAGGTAAAGAGACACAGAGGCATAGAGAGGACAGAAGAGAAGAGGGAGACAGGAAAATCCTGTCTGCTCCAGGGGAACAGTGGGAAAGAGAGAGGGCAAAAATTCAGTTTTTAAAATACCAGAAATCATTCAGATTATGTAATTCATTTTAGTTAAATTTTGGCAGTTCTTTTTTAAGCCTATTTTTCATTTTAAGAATATTTTGTCTGTATGTGTGTGTGTGTGTGTGTGTGTGTGTGTGTGTGTGTGTGTGTGTGTGTGTGAGCGCGCAACACCTGTGTGTATTGTTCACAGAGGCCGTGACAGTGCATTAGATCCCGTGGAGCTAGAGTTGTAGACAGTTGTGAGCTGCCATGTGGGTGCTGGAAACGGAACCCAAGTCTGCATGAGTAGCTCGTTCTCTTAATCAATCACTGAGCCGTGTCTCCTGCCCCATGAAGCAGTTCTTGTCTTTCAAGAGCTGACTGTAGCCAGACTTTCTTTGGACTGCCAGCTCTCGAATGACAGGAGACTTCTTATTAAGTGTGAAAGCTTGACCTTAACTTAGACTTGTTCCCAACTAGCTCTTAAAAACTAAAGACCGGCAGTGGTGGCACATGCCTTTAATCCCAGCACTTGGGAGGCAGAGGCAGGCAGATCTTTGTGAGTTCGAGACCAGCCTTGTTTACAAGAGCTAGTTCCAGGACAGCCTCCAAGGTTTTGAGAAACCCTGCCTCGAAAAAACAAAACAAACAAGAAAAAAACCCGAAACAACAACAAAAAACCTAATCCCTTCATCTTAATCTGTATTCTGCTACATGATTGGTTACCTCTCCTCCATACCATATGTCTGTCTTTCTCTGCAACTCGATGTTGAATCCTCCTCTCAAGGTTCCTCCCCCCAGTTCCTCCTTCTCTCTGGAAGTTCTGCTTATTCTCTCTGGCCTAGCTATTGGCCTTTCAGCTTTTTATTAAACCAATTAAAGGTACCTTATACAGGTGAGGTAAAGCAGACATCTTCACACAGTGTGATCAGTTAGGCCACAATAAACTTAATCTAACTCTGTAGGTAGAGTATCTTCTGTGTGCCTTTTCTTTTTAAAAGCTTTTCTTTTGAATGTGCATTCAGACATGTTTCACAGCATTTGCAGATGTCAGAGAACAACATGGGAAGTGTGTTCTCTCTTCCACCTTGGGTCTGAGGAGCAAACTCAGGTCCCCATGCTTGTCGGCAAGCTCCTTTACTCTCTGAGCCATCTCACCAGCCCTCAATACCTTTTAAAGTCTTCCAGGTTCTGTAGCAGTATATTTTCTTTCTAATACCTGAGTTGATGGAGAGTATCAGCTATTGCTCTTTTTAAAGAACCAGGTTTTGATTTCTCTCTATGTTAATTTGTTTTGAAATTTACCACCCCGTGCTTTTTATAACATGCTTCTTTCTACTCGCTTGGGTTTCACTCAGCCTCCCACCCCAGTTCCTTAAAGTTCCTTTACTGGCTCTTCAGACCAGCATAGTCAGTAATGCAGTGACCATAATTTGCTTCCCAAGCACCAATTTAGCGCATTCCGCACATGGTGCTACTTCATTTACACTCAGTTTAAAATACTTTCTATTTTGAGGCTTATCCTTAGAACCACAAATTATTTGGAAGTCTGCAGTTTCATTTTTAAGTTCTGTTACCTTGCTTCTATTTTTTTTTCTGCAAACATACTTTGTATGCTTTCAGTTTTGAAATCTTTAGGACACAAGATAAACTCGTCTTGATGAATGTTTCTTACTCAACTGAGAAGGGTTTGCATGCTGTTTGAGGATACAGTGCTTTTAGTCAGTCAGTCATTTAGTGGCACTCAGCTTTATATCATCACTAATTTTCTAGTAATACCATGGATTTCCAAGAGTAGTGTCTAGTTTTCCAATTGTGGTTGAAGATTTCTTTCATTGCTGTGCATTTGTTTCATATGTTTTAAGCGGCAATATATAGATTCTCTAGCAATTTTGATTGTTCCTAAATCTATTGAACTAATGTAAAAATCATCTCATCTGGTTTTGGAGTTGGAGAATTGCAAGCTTCACAGTTAAAGCTGTGTAAGACATGACACATGTTCATTAGGTTGTTTTGTGATGGCACATTTGATAAAAAACTACTTTGTCATTATAAAAGAGAAACAGTTCTATATTATTCTATCATGATAGTACACAGGATATGGTTTGGATTGTAGGGATTATACAATTTCACCTGGATTAATTTTCCATTTGGGGACAGGATATGCAGAATCGCAAGAGCAAAAGGCTCTGGAGTCAGAAGTTCCTGAATTTTGTTACCCTGTATGTACCAGATCCAAATCACTTAACATCTTGTGTTTCCTGATGCATTTGTTAACTCATACCTTCATTCAGTTTAGGACTTGTATGAGGTGAGTTATAGTTATTCCAAACTCACTGACAGTTACATCAGAAATAGCAAGTATGTATGTATGTATGTATGTATAATATTTGGGAATATATAAAGTTCAGGTACCTGGAAAGGGGAGCTTATAACATCAAATATGAGTCAAGCGCAATAGTTTTGTTGTGATTTCCTAACAATGCCTGCTTTATAACTCTTTCTAGCTGCTCTAAGAACTGGGCCCATTAACATTTCATCTTGGAAAAGCAAAGGGTTCATGAGGCTCCACCCATTCCTGAGGGACTGTTGACAGTGGTGACTAGGTGACAGGGTTTGTGTCTTTCTTAGGATTCCTATTGCTGTGATGAAACACCATGACCAAAAATAAATGATGGAGGAAAGGGTTTATTTTACTTCCCCTTCCACATCACAGTCCATCATAGAAGAGAGTCAGGGCAAGAACTCAAGGCAGGACCAGACACAGAGACCAAGGAGCACTGCTTACTGGCCTGCAACTCAGGAGTTGCTTAGAGCTTTCTTAAGGATCCCAGCACCACCAGCTGGGGAGGCACCACCTGCAGTGAGCTGGGCTCTTATTATCATGTATCAATCAAGAAAATGCACCATAGGCTTGCCCACAGGCCAATCTAGTAGAGACATTTTCTCAGAATGACTAACTTGTATCAACCTGACAGAAAACTAGCCTGCACAGGATGTTATTTTCTGATTTGTTGCATCCATTGACAAGCCACCCACGTTCCAGGAAATAACCTCTCACACTTGCTCATGTGAGCAAACCTAATACATACACACACACACACACACACACACAAACACACACATACAGTAGTGAGAGGGCCTTTACCAGGAAGAGGGAATGCAAAGAGTAGAATTAGAATGTGACTAGAATTCATTATATACATCTATGAAACCCTAAGAATAAAGAAATTTCAAATACGGAGTTCAAAATTATAGATTCTCTTCAATAATGATTACCACTTGATCCAAGCAGGTTAACGTAATAGCATCAGTGGCACCCACCCTGCTTGGTTTTATTTAAGTAGGTAAAAGGGTTTGTACAAAATCTTAAGATGTATGAAATGTAAGGGTAAATTTTTATGATGAATAATATCCATAGCAGTGGTGTACCTGAATGTAAAACTTGATTAACAATAATGGGTAAACACAGCTTTTTAGTATACATTTAACAAACATATTTATCCTGTGTTGTTTTTTGTTTTTTTTTAAACTAGAAAGTGATTGGCCAGGCAGTGGCAGCACACACCTTTAATCCCACCAGCACTCAGGAGACAGAGGCAGGTGTATCTGTGAGTTTGAGGCCAGTCTGGTCGACAGAGTGAGTTCCAGGACATCCAGGGCTACACAGAGAAACCCTGTCTTGAAAAAAAAGAAAAGAAACTAGGTGATAGTAGAACTGTATTTTTTGAGATAGGATCTCATCGTGTAGCCTTGGCTGGCATCGAACTCCTGGAGATCCACCAGTCTCAGCCTTCCCAGGACTACCATGCCCAGCTTAATATCTGCACTATTTTCTTTCTGCCTCCTTGCATCTTAAAGTATTAAGAAAGCTTATTTTATAATATTGCCAAAATACTTACAAAGGAAACAGAAACACCCAGGGAAGGATTGCATTTCAATAACTTTATTGAAAGGTGTATTCCTTAGTTTAAAACATAATGGTAGTTGGTTAGCTTATTTCTGTTCACTCAAAATCAGCATTGTTTCCAAATTGAAGCATTTCAGCCTTTAGGAAGAATTGAAAAGTTATCCATGAAACATGGTTTACAAAGGTTAACGATAAAATACTCTGGTTCTTTGGTTTATTTTTCAGTGATCGTTATCCATTACATGTCAAAATGGTTACAGCCACTCCAGGTGGATGCAGGCTGTACACTGCACTGAGGAGCAGCTGACAGTTTAACAGTGTAGATCTTACATTCAAGGTCAGCATTGAGAATCTGAACACAACCTTGGTGGTCTTATGGAGTGCCCCCTTACTTCCCTTAAGACACAGTAGACGTTTTTGCAAATTATTTTCTTTCTTTTAAAACAAAATGCATTAGAAGCAGTGGCAGTTTTATAAAAATTGTAGTTAAAAAAAAAACTTCTGGAGTGCTTTATCAAGCCTGAATTAATTTTAATGCAATAAATAAGTTTTCAGGGTGACAATTCATCCAGTTATTAATATGTTTTCTCAAATGGGACTAGAATGAAGCAGCAATTCTGTAGGATTTTTTTATTGTGAATAAAAACCACCTGTTCTCTAGAAGAAATATTAAAGGTAACAAAGTTTCAAAACTTATGAGATCTGCCTTATATAAAACACCCACAAGTTTAAGTGAAATCTCATATAGCAATAAAAATCTCACCTCTAAGTTAACAATTACTTGGTTATGGGTGCCAAGAAATCATTTACTGCTTAAATTACCCCTTACAATACCTTAAAAGTGCATTTGTGAAATGTTGGTTTTGATGTAAACTTCGTAATTTAAACTTTGAGATTTAAATTAAGTAGTTTACCATTTTCAATACCACCTAAGTATATATTGATCCAATCTAGGAAGTTAGATCATGTTAAAATGAAGGTTCACAGTTTTATTTCACATTTATGTCTTTAGCCTTGATTTGAATGTTTCATGGGTGAATTCAAATCTAAGCGTAGCTCTACCAGGCCTGGAATCAGGAATTTTCCCAACACTGAGACCCTTCTATTAATGTGGTGATGTGCTGAGGTTTCATAACTTAAATCCTGCACCATGGGAAACTCATGGTCAGAGTGGCAGAGGAAGACTTCAGGGACAGTTTTTGTTGCTACTGCAATCCTACTGCCTAAGCAGACAGCACAGACCCAGTTCAACAGAAATCTGCCTACATACTGCAAGCTGCTAAAGGCGAACTGGATATCTAAGATGCATGATCATATATTTATTGCAGAGATGGGGAGGGTGCGAGGCACATGCATGCCAGAGAATTTGCGGGAGTTTGCTCTCTCCTTCTGTCTTGTGAGTCCTAGGGAATGAAGTCAGGTTGCTAGACTTAGGGGCAAGTACCCTTACCTGCTGAACCATTTTCCCCAGCAACGTTTACTTTTGGGTGTGGCGGGGGAGTTGGTTATTTTCTCATTTTATTTTGGTGTTTTTGAGGCAGGGTCTAGAATGTAGGTCTCTGGCTATCCTGGAACTCACTGTGTAGACCAGACTGGCCTTGAACTCACAGAGGTCCACCTGTACCACAACACCTGGCAACATTTTGTTTTAATCATAGAAAAGATAAATCTTTGCTATGATGAAGAAATTTAGATGGCAAAATGCATATGTATCAGGGACCAAGTTTATATTTTTTAAGCATGTAATTACTGTGTAATAGACCAACTGTTAGAGATAAAATACTAAATATAGAATTGAGACACCCCAGCAATTTCCAGAAACCTAATGTGGAGACTGTCCTATATTACTTTTTTTGTTTGTTTTGTTTTTTTTATTAATTTATTTTTTACATTCCACCTACATTACTTTGTAAGTATATCACCCATGTGCATAAATATGGATCAAACTTTTTGTTTCGTCCTTCTGCTTGGGCTTATGTAACTTTAAATAAGCTACAGTGATGTGATAAGTAATTTAAAGAAATACTATTTCATTAACTACTTTGTTTGTTTTTGTTTTTTGAGACAGGGCTTCTCTATGTAACAACCCTAGCTGTCCTGGACTAACTCTGTACATCAGGCTGGCCTTGACCTCAAAGATCTGCCTGCCTCTGCCTCCTAAGCGCTGGGATCAAAGGCATGCGCCATTATCGCCCAGCCTCATTAACTACTTTTAAATCCAGCCTCATTAGCTACTTTTAAATTTTCATTTTGGAGGATTCTCTTTTCCTAAGCTAATAATTTGACTAAGAAAGTGTTAACATGTATTTAGGGGTTTGCTAAGTCCTTTCTCTGGAGACTGCTGTGCGCTGTTCACAGGAAATGGCTTCCAATATTCACTAACTAGATCAACAAAGTCACCTTTCCCTTTACCGTTTCAATCCCATACTGTTTATACTGAAGATTGTATTTCAGTTCTTCAGTTGTAGAAGAAAATTACCACACTAGAAAATTTTCTGTACACAGAGAATAACAACCAGATGTGCCAACTAAGAAACCGTTTCAGGAATTGTTGGGAGGTGAGTTATTCTGTAATAACTATGCTTCAGTTGCCGTGCGGTGCGCCCAGACACAATCCATTTCAACTTCTGAACATTTGGTTTGGAACACTTGTTTGATGAATACTCAGTTAAACACTTGGATACAAGCTCTTGCCAGAAGGTCAAATCTCTGCCATTTATCTGTACATAAATAAAAATTATTAAAAGCCTCACTGTATTTATAGTAATAAATATAATCCCATTAACATGTTTCCTCATCCAGAGAGAACCAGGGGAGAGCCACTTAATCTTCAAATCAATACTTTAGGAGTACAGTGGATACATTTCTGTTGTAGCTAGCTAAGGGGATGGATGCTACAACCTTGACATACCTTGGAATGTTTCTGAATACATTCGATTCCTTCTGTTAACTCTACATACTTCAGTGCTTGGATCTCCAAAGCAATGATAGACAATGCCAACACAGAAGGCTGAAAAAGACAAATATAAAGTAAATGTCAACTGTAAAAATAGGTTTCTGTAACTAAACTTAATCTTAAAAAATATTTACCTTTGCCTTAGAAAATATGATCCTGCAGTGGCATGCCTTAAGTTGGGCTTCTAGTCTTTCAAAATTAAGATCGTTTTTCCTTTAAAAAGAAAATGAGATTGATTTTATGTAGACAGTATTACATCTAGTTGGCAGACAGCTTTATAAATGTATTAAAGTCAGTTTTAAAAATGAAACTCATACACTCATAGAAAATTATTTGAAGAAAAGGAATTTCACTTCTAGCATTTGTAGGAACTGAAGTATGAGTTTTAAATTATTCTGGCAAAAAAAATCATTGAGTGAACAGTAGTATGCCACAAATATTTTATTTCTGAATATCTTTCCCAAATTTGCATTAAATGCTTATTTTCTAGGTTCTATAAAGTTGAAATGTCCTTTAACCTTCAATAAACTGTTGACAGCTGTCTTTTCACTTTAGGCAGCAAAATCCAAGGGACCACAGGTGCCATAAATACACTTATTTTGGTAAGAATTCTACGAACATGCTAACTTTATGCAATAGCTAAACAATATCCTTTTGATTTCCAAACCTTTTTTTTAATTCCAAAATAAAGTTCACATACCTTTCAAATGGCAAGCTCTCTTGAATGAGTGAGTAATACAGTTGCAGAAATTGAAAGGCAGTAGTAGCTTTGACTTTCCAACATACTTTCTCCAACACAATCTTTTCCATTCTCATCAAGTCTGAAACCGTAAACCTATACTGGCTTATTCGGATCAAATCAGTTGCCAATGGGACATTCCTTTCCTCTTCTATCGATTTTACAGCCAAATAAAAGCAGCTCAGTCCGACACACCCAAGATGCTTCGCCTGTACCTACAAACACAAACACAGCAGTGCATCTTAACCATGTCTCAATAAATAGAGCACAAAGGGATATCTAGGGCTCAGAGCCACCCACTATGGAAGTATATCTGCAACAAATAGCTACAATGGATATAGCATCATCAACCCTATTTGGACAGGTGCCTGTCAGTCTGGTGGGCCCTACTTGAAATCAGTGAGTTAGTGGATAGGGAAGATCGCTTCAGTTTATGACAGTTAAACTTTGAAAACCATACAAGTAGTTTGTCAGTTACTGGGGAATAACTGTAGAGATTATCTTCCTTCAGGCAACACTTCCTTTTCTGTTGCATGCACACTGAAGCTGGAAATGCCAAGTGGCTAAAGGAATTAGAATTTTTATATGTGGGTAGTGATTAGGAAATAGATCCTAATTCTTAACCACAACCTAACATTCTAACTTTAATAAACATCTTTAAATCTATGAACATGTGTAAATGAATGGAAACATCCAGGCTATCAAGAAGGGTTCTGATTAGGGCTAGTGAGATGGCTCAGTGGGTAAGGATGCTGGTCACCAACCCTGATGACTTGAGTTCAGTCCCCAGAACCTAATCCTGCAGTGGTCCTTACCGCCTCACATGATGTATCATGAATGTACCCATACACATGCAAACATACAAATATATATAAAACAAGTTTTTTAAAGAAAGATTTCTACTTTTTTAAAAAAAATTAGTTTTTGAAACGGTCTCACTGAGTAGCTTTGGCTGGTCTAGAACTCACTATGTAGACTAGACTGGCCTCAAACTAACAGAGAGCTACCTGCCTCTGAATTCCAAGTGCTAGGATTAAAGGTGTGAGCCATATGCCAGGCCCTTAATTGTTACTATTATTACTCTTTCTCTGTGTGTGTGTGTGTGTGTGTGTGTGTGTGTGTGTGTGTGTGTATTTCTGAGTGTATGTGTCTGTGTGTAAGGGGGAGAGGAGGATGGTGAATGTGTGAAGGTCAGAGTAAACCTTTTGGGAGTTGGTTCCCTCTTTTCACTGTATGTTCTAAGGACAGAACTCACATTTGACTATCTAAGGCATGTGTAACAGGTACTTTTACCCGATCATTTTGCTGGCTCAAGAAAGGTTCTTAAATACAGCCAGATTTCCTACGAGAGTCTACATATTAATCACTTAATGTTAGACAGTTTTCTACTCCTGTATACAACTAGTAAGTGATGTATTACTACTCTTGATTATGAAAAAGCATTACCACAACATCTGAAAATGACATTTGAATGCCAGCTCTTTTGACAGCTTTTAATATTAGTATCAATTGTAATGTGTATCCATGTGTATGTGTGTGATGTGTGCTACATTTGAGCAGGTGCTAGAGGAAACCAGAAGGCATCAGAGCCCAGCTGCCCACCTGGGAGCTTGAAACTGAACTCAGGTCCTCTGGAAGACCAGCCAAGTATTACTAACTCCGAACCATCTCCAGCCCTCCGTCCGCCATTTGATCTCTTCTTAAACACACGCTGAGCAACATTAAGAAAGGGGACATCGTAGCTTGAACATACCTTCATTTTAGACAAGAATCTGTCCAGTAAATTCACAGCTAGGGAAAACGTCTCCGTGTCGAAGCCAAAGAACTGAGTTAGACTGAGTAGATCTTTTACTTCAAAGTCCCTGAGTCTTGCAGTCATTCTGAGGCCATTATCATGTGCAGACTCAATTAGTTTCAAGCCACAGACCTTTGGCTGACATCTAGACTCCTGTTCCAACAGGGTGTTCAGCTGGTGCAGCAGTTTCTGAGAGTCAGTTGTCAGTACCTCTATCATCTATATATAGAACAAACCCAGAAAAGAGTGTAAGAGCCCCTTGCTGCCTGGCCCTCTTTGCATTGTGCCAAGAAGTGCTTTATAGTGCATGATTCCCCCACCTCCACCAAGTCTAAGGCACTGCAAAGGGCTCTAAGTTAATTTTTACCTTCTCCCAGTTAGTCACATTTCTAAATTGTGAGCTTGTACAGGATATGAACCATGGCTTAAAAAACAAAAACAAAAAACTTTCCCAGCTTCACTTATTCATTGCCAGTACATAGTCACAGATACTGCCGCACAAGACACCCAAATCAAAAAGTCAAAACGACAGTACATACATACTCTGAATTATATATTAACAACGTGAACCTTCTTAGTTCCTAATCTGTGAAGCAGAAATAAGATTATTACCTAAGCTCATAGATTGTGGGTTAAATGGAATCATACAAACCGCTTAGCACACAGATAGGTGCTAAATTATTGCCAGATAATGAGCTTATATTTCTACATCTGTGAGATGAGGCTAACAGCATCTGTTTCTTGGAACGGCTGTGAATAACACGCGATATGACTCAGTGTGGTGCGGTGCTCAGCACACAGAGCTCTTAATAGTTTAACGTCATTTAAAACCCAAAAGAAAAAGTTAGGTGAAGCTGGGAATCGCACTGGTGTAATCACTTCCCCTGCATCCCGGTCACAAGCTAAGATCTGGATAGAGAGGATGGCCCTAGTTAAATTAAAGACAGAACAGAAGAGCTGCGAGTCGTCCTCGCCAGGAACCACTAAGTTCAGGGGTGCAAGTTGGAAGTGGGAGGCACGACACAGGATCATCCCAGGACGCACGCTGTGTGGCACCTCTCCAGGAGCAGACTAGCCCGGGCTTGCACACCCCTCTTCCCGCCCCCCGAAGTCCACCCCACTAGTTCCCTCTCACCTTGACAGCCACAGTTCTTCCGCGGTGGTCACCACCCTCCCCGGGCCTGCTCTCAGCTCGCCCTACTTCCCCGATCTGAGAGGCCGACGAGGGGAACGGACTCGCCGGCGGGCAAGCGAGCAGAGGCCCGGGGAGGGGCGGGCGTCCCGGGTGGAGGGTCCCGCAGCGCCCTGAGTTGGTGCGGCGTTCCTGGGGGTCAGCACGCAGCGAAAGAGCTGCGCCCCGCAGCTGGGAGACAGGCCGGGGACCGGGCTGGCTCTTGGAGGCTCATCTTAGCCGCTGATTGGTGCGGTCCTTTTGATGGATGCCTTCTGAGAAAGCTCAACCAATCAGCGTACACTTGCCATTGTCCAGACTCCAATTCTCCGCCCCCTTGGTGCCACGCCCGTATCTCCCAGTCTCTCTCATTGGAGCATTTCCGTCCTGCCATAAGCTGCGGAACTGAACACTCGGTGCCAAGGCTTGCCCGGGCAGGTCTGGCTGCTAGTAGCCAGAGTGGCCTGGGTAGCGTTCCAGAATGTACTGGGAGGGTTTTTGTTTGATTGTTCTCTGCAGTTTAGCTGTACTGTAGTGATTCAGACCCCTCTTTCTAAAAACACAATGACAAGTTAAAAAGAAGAAGAAGAAAAAATAAGAGGCTTATTTTCATTGTCTTTACAGATAAGGGGCAGTGATTTCTCTATCGGGTGGTTTATTGCATTCCAGAGGGTTCTCTTTGGGTTTCGGAAATCTGTTGACCTTTTCTTATTTTGTTTTTTTGTGAAACGTATTACAGTGAAGTTAGACTATGTAGTGTTTCTTGGTCCTCTACTAATGTCCAGAATTTGTTTCTTAAACAAATTTAAATTACAAGCTTCATAGAGTGCCCTCATACAACCACCAGTGGCTAAAAATAAAGTGTGTGACACAGACAAAATCAAGACCAATACCGGAAAACCCAGCTGCAGAGGTGGCTCTCAGACTCCAGAGTAGAGTGTGAAGGGATCTTACTCTCATTATTCTTGTGAACTTAATCTCTATAAAGAAACCTTTTCTCTGCCAGGTTAACGGGAAAACAATCATCCCTCTTGTTTATATTTTTAACTTATTATTATAACTGTCACTCCTTTCTCCCCGGTTGAGAAGGGCGTGCCCTCAGAAACAGTGCAGCAGTTCTCAGCTCTCAGAGATATAGCCCTGGGCGCAGGACTTCCGTGGCTTTCAAAGGACAAGGCAAGTCAGCTGGCCACCCATAATGATTATAAACTAGATATAAACTTTCAGATTTTCTTTTTCTTTTTCTTTTTTTTTTTCAAGACAGGGTCTCTACATAGTCCCGGAACTCTCTGTGTAGACCAGGCTGATCTTGATGAGAGAGCCTCTCTGGCTCCTGTAGTACTGGGATTAAAGCCTGGCCTTTTTCTTTCATTAAAAAAAGTTTTGTTTTTAAAAATTATGTCTGTCTTGATGAGGATTGTTCTTCTGTATTATGTTTCTTTTATTGGTTGATGAATACACACTGATAGTCCAGTAGCCAGGCAGGAAGCATAGGCGGGGCTACCAGACTGAGGAGAATTCTGGGAGGAGGTGGCAGACACAAGCCCCTAGCCAGGGAGAGAAGCCGTGTACCTACAGGAAGATAGGATGCCGGCATTCTCTGGTAAGATAAGGTCATGTAGAAATACATAGATAGTCATGGGTTAATAATTAAGAGAGCTAGCCAATAAGAAGCCCGAGCCATTGGCCAAACAGTTTCTAATTAAAATTAAGTCTTTGTGTCTTTATTTGGGGCTGAAGGGCAGCTGGACTAGGCAGAAAAGAAACTCGGGCAACTCTTCCCTCTCCCTCTCTTTCTCCCCCTCCCTCTCTCCCTCCCCCTCCCCTTCCTCTTCCTCTCCCCCTCCCTCTCTCCCTTCCTCTCCCCTCCCTCTCTCTCTCCTCCCTCTCCCTCTCTTCCCCTCCCTCTCCCCCTTCTCCCTCTCCCCTTCTCCCTCTCCCCTTCTCCCTCTCCCCTTCTCCCTCTCCCCCTTCTCCCTCTCCCCTTCTCCCTCTCCCCTTCTCCCTCTCCCTCCCCCCCTCTCTCTCTCTCTCTCTCTCTCTCTCTCTGAGAGAAAGAGAGAGAACATGAGTGTGGGTATTCACAGAAGCCAGAGATGCTGGATTTGAGGTTTCAGGCTGTTGTGAGTTGCCCACTGTGGGTGCTGGGAACCTTAATCATAGATAAATGGGAGGATTAAATAATGGAAAGCATGTGGTAAATGGTAGCTTTTCTTCTTATGTTTATTTTTAAATGCCTTATGTAAAAGTTGGTCCTGTTTATTCTATTTTCAGTCTTCTCAACCTAGAAGGGAGATCTGATTATTAGAATTGCTTAATACTAATAAGAATTTCTAAGCTGCATCTATTGCTTTCTACATCTTACATTTAAATTTTCCATTGAGAACTGTTGGCAATATATTATCATATGTTAAGAAATATTTTCTCTCAGGATCCCCTTTTTTAATTGAACTCTCAATTGTTTACATAAAAATATTTCACTGGCATTGAAGAAACAAATATAAATCAAATCTAGTAGACATTCTTTGCTTATTTTTCTTTCCTATTTCAACTAAAAAACCTCACTGCTTTCACTTTTGATTATGAATATATGTGTGTCTATGGGTGGACCTGTGCAGTGCCCTAGGAGATGGGGAAAGGGTTTTGGAAGCCCTGGAGTTGGATTCAGATGATTGGGAGCTATCCAATATGGGTACGATTAACTTTGGAGACATCTTTCTAGCCCTCTGTTGCAATTTTTAAATATAATACTTCGTTTTGACCATTTCATATACATATAGTATACCACAGCTTCACACAATGGCTTCTCTAGGCCTCCATTCAGGGACACCCCTGACACATGCCTGGCCTCTCAGCTTTCTTAGGCACTGAGGCAAATTCTGTAGCCCGTTTCTTCTATCCTTAACTCTAAAGCCCAAACCATGTGACTGAAGCTGCCAAGTTCTGCTGCTTGCGGGGCTGAAACATGCTCCCCTCATTCAATTACATCTTCACCAGCTTTCTGTTTTGCATAGTTTTCTTCATTACCTAACCTTGGCTATTTTTGAACTTGCTCCGTATGCCAGGCTGCCCTCAAACTCAGAGATCCAACAGCCCCTGTCTTCTGAGTGCTAGAATTAAAGGCGTGCATCACCACAAACTGCTCTAAGTTTTTCACGAGTTGGAAATTTAGAGGATGGGATGTTTCCCTGAGGTACTCAATTTCTTAATCTGCTTGTCCCTTTGAACATAAGATTTAGCTCCATTCCACTTTCTGGTGCTCTTTTTCTCCTCAAATATTTTTCCTTGCTCTGCTTGCTCTTTTTCATTATAGAATTTTACCAGAGTTAACACTAACAGAGTCTATACTAGGGTGTTTTGAGATTTCCTCTGCCAACATAATTAATCCAAAGTTCTTCACTTTAGCCTCAGGCAGACTCTTCAGACAAGGGCAAAAGGCAGCCACTTCACCAAGAATGTTCTCTAGGCAACATACTAAAATTCTCCTCCTCTGTAACCTCTTGAACAAGCCTCCCACAGTTCATCAAATCACATTAAACACCACTGTTTTCCATGCTTCTGCTACTATGGCCCACTAAGCAGCATTTAAAACATTTCGCTGCCTTTCTAACCCAAATTCCCCAAATCCATATTACTCCAAACAAAATCATGGTCAGGCCTATCACTGCAATACCACAGTCCCTGATACCAACTTCTGTCTTCATTAAGGTTTCTATTGCTGGGAAGCAGCACCATGACCATGGCAGCCCCCTAGACCCCCAAAAAAGACCCTCTGGAGGAGGAGCTGACCCTTGGTGGACTTTCTGAGAGGGTGGGGTTTGGAATGGGGCCCGGAGCTGGAGATTCCCAACAATATTTATACTGAGTTCTTATCAAGAGGTTTTCAATTGTCTGACTTTTAGGATGTTATCTTGACTCACACACACACACACACACACACACACACACACACACACACACACACACACACGAGACAGGCTCCCTCTACTGTCTATCATGTATCTCTCTCTGTCTTAGAACTTGTTATACAGACCAGGCTGGCAACTCACAGACATATATACTTGCCTCTTAGCCTCCCCCACCCCCCCACCTTCACCACACCTTGCTCAAGGGCACATGTAATTCCCATTCTCCTACTTGCTTCTCAGTGAACAGCTAAATACAAGTCAGAAAAATGACTGTGATACAGGGTAAGAATCCACTCACTAACAGGAAGATTTAATCACATTGACTATTGTAGTCTCAATGCGTGTGAAGTCGAGGATGTAATTGTATCACTAGACCCAAGATAAATGATAAATGGGTGTTTATTGGGGACAATTACACAGAAAAATACAAAGAACCGCTGAGCATTTTCCTGCTCTTTCTACCAGATCCTCTGACCCACCAGAAAGAGCCCCCAAAAGAAAGCCAATCCTCAAGCTTCTTCCCCACTTCCTTCTGCCTGAAGCCACACCCAAAGGGGTGTGGCCGCCATTTCAGGTCTACAGACCAGATACCTACAATTACCCTTTTAGACTAAAGAAGGATTTAAGCCTGATGCAAAACTATACACAATGATAACAGATGTCAAGTACGCTCCAGGAGAAGGAAAGGTAAACATACCCAAATTAAAACCTACTATCGGCAAGGAGAAATATTAAGCAATTGATACTACATGTCCAGTAGACATACATGCCTTTGAACAGCAGGAATTATAACAAGTAGGTCTGACAGTGATGGTTACTGTGATGGGTAGTGATAGTTGTCATCCTGCCCCCAAATCTAGAATTTTCTGGAAGCTAGGTCTCTGGGCTTGCCTCCACGGTATTATCTTGATTGGGTTGACTGAAATGCGAGGACACAAGTAGGTAGCACCATTCCATGCCTGGGCTCCTGAGCTATGCAAGTGGAGAGAGGGAGCTGAGCCTCAGCCGACACTCACTGCTCTCTGCTTCTTGACTGTGGATGCTATGTGAGCAGCTGCTTCAAGCTCCTGCTTATTGTCTTCCCTGTCATGTTGTACCATGATCCGGAAGCCAAAACCAACCCCTTTTCCATTAAGTCGCCTTTTCAGAGTTTTGGGTTTTTTTGTTTTGTTTTGTTTTTAGGTTTTTTTTTTTTTTTTTTTTTTTTTTGAGACAGGGTTTCTCTGTGGCTTTGGAGGCTGCCCTGGAACTAGCTCCTGTAGACCAGGCTGGTCTTGTACTCACAGAGATTCGCCTGCCTCTGCCTCCTGAGTTCTGGGATTAAA